TCGTATCTCGTCCGAACCGAGCGATGTCAAAATGTCGGCGATGGCAAAAGGAATGTAGTAAAGGACCGAGAAAATCCAAAAAAAAAAAAAAAAAAGTCCCGATACTTAGTGCACGCTTGACTCGAACCCGTAAGCCCGCTTGACTTCGGAGCACGATCAGCGAGCTCAGAAATAATATCAGGGGCGAGACCCGGAGGCCCCAGGGAGTCAATCGATCATTTCCGTCATATCCACCACGGAGGGACAACACTTCCTTTACCCTCCGTGCTTTTCCCGAGCGAGCTGCCGCCACCGAAAGGACACACAGAAGCGCGCGGCCGGACACTGCAGCGACAAAATTACAAGTCTAGAAGGAAACAAGATAAATGTCGTTAACAAAAAAGAAAAAAAAAAAAAAAAGCTTAAACTGCATGGCGAGCTGGTATATATTGACCACGATGAAAAACCCTGAAGCAGTATTCATAGAGTATATAGATATAGATATATAGTATATGAGTATATATACTCATAGAGTATAGACCTTTCCAGCGGCAGTCTCGAACGAAGCGATTTACTGCGCGTGTCCCTGGTTTTGAGAGTGTACGTCAGTGTTGCCCGACTGCGCTGAGCTGTGGAGTTTCTCGTCAGTGGGCTGTGGCAGCCTGCGTAGGCGCAATTCCGGACGCTGGTGGCGGCTGAATTGCCGCGTTTTCTTTTTTATCTTGTGCTCTGTGGCGAACATAATTTATAGAGGTCTTTAAGAAAGCAGTGCTCTATTTTTGGGAACAAAAACAAAGAAATGAAAGCTGGTTTGGTGAGTCCGTGCGCGACAGAACAAATGCAACTGGAATGTTTGTTTCATTTTATGTTCATTGTTTTACGGCACCGTACACTCAGCCGTGTCAATCTATAAAGGTCGAAATATTTGACTACACAGGATATCCGTACTGCATGGATATTCCCCGCCCACAACATAAAATTCAACGAGTCTCATCAATCGACCAAAAAATATATTGTACGTACCCCACGGTGCCGCGTTATCCGAACGGGATTTGAGAAAGGTCTCAAATAACATAGCATATCCAATATACAGTGTCGATAATAGTCACTTCACGACGATCGGACGGAATCCGGTGTGTTTTGGGGAATATGTAGAAGAGAGCTCCCTTTTTGCACAGCTTCAAAGCAAATGAACGAACGTGCTTATTCCGTCCCCACACCCCGGACCCGACCCTATCAGCTAGTTTTTGCGAAGACCCGGATTACAGCCTGGAAGGCTCTTTGGAGATTATCTCGACGGAAATAATCCTCCAAGCACGTCGAACTGCCTGCGTCGAGGGCTGCTTGACGTTCGCTCTCTTCGTTCATTTCCTGCGAAGGCCGAGCGGGCTACGAGCCCTAGTATTCCCTGGTTCTCACAGTGAAAGATAACATACAAAGGGTAAGCATCCTAAACAAGCGAATAAAATAAAAACTTCCAAGAAAAGCCGGCGAACTCCGAATGCAAAATGCAGGTGGGGAGTCACGCTGACCGGGTTTCCACAGCTCAGGCGGGTGCTAGAAATTTCTGGCTGATAGGGGTCGCTCGATTCGCAAAATGGCGGCGGCCAGAGCGCTCTTTTTGCAAAGGTCTATATACCAGGGGTGGCCAAACCGCGGCTCGCGAGCCGCATGCGGCTCTTTGCAGGACACGGTGCGGCTCGCGGATCCCTCGTACGGGGACCCCCCCATTGGCCCTTTCCGCGTCTCCTCAGGAAAATGGAAAGGATTTCAGAATAAAGAACAACCAGCGGTTCGCCAGCCTTGTGCCCCCAGACGTACAGTGGAGCCGCTTTTCACTCATATGTTTCCACAGATCCTGTTTCTTTCATTGTTCGAGAGAGTTTGCCGGACCCTAGGGGGAAAGGCATCAAAGACAGGTATTGTCAAAACATGCATGCACTTTGGCTTGGGGTCGAGGAAATGTTCTGTCCTGCGGCCTTTGGCACTCGCCGCAATACTTCTCCCCTTTAAGTAACAGATGTTCCCTCCCCATATCGTTTCTTGTTGAAGGTCACGGAAGCCCGGGTTGACATCATTCATAGCTTCCACTAGTCACAAACACTATATTCAAGTTTACAAAGCACCAGGAACATTCTCACTGTCATTTTTACCGGCTTGCAGTTTGAACCCGCAAGCTGCTTTTTTATGCTTTCGGGGGGGGGGGGGGGGGGGGGGGGATAACCAGGCATCGGTGTTTGTTTTGCCCCCCTCCCCCCCCTCCCCCCTCCCTCTTTCGGCGGCTCTTAGAAGTTTCGTGGTTTCCTTTGCGGCTCTTAGGCCGGGTCAGCCTGGCCACCCCTGGTATATACCATGCAAAAGACACAGTGCCCACTGCAAAGATGACGACGTAGTTATGTAAAAACAGGCCTTAAGCATGTTGGAATCATGATTTCTTCATACATATGTAGACTTCGAACATGGCTGCAGGCAATTTTTTGTATTTCCAGTGTGACAGGACACAGAAAAGAGACACGCCTCAAATAAAAGAAAGATTTAGCGAACCGTTTTTCTTTTTTTTTTTGCATTTGATACGGTGCGAACTGCGCATGTGCGAGTTTTCTGTGGTAGCGCGCATGCGCAGTTCGCACCGGTGTGCCCATCGTACCGTATCGGATGGCAAAAACGGTTCCTTAAAACTTTCTACCGTTTGAGGCGTGTCTCTTTTCTGTGTCCTGCCACACTGGAAATACAAAAACTGCCTGCAGCCATGTTCGAAGTCTACATATGTATGAAGAAATCATCATTCCAACATGGTGAAGGCGAGTTTTCACATATTGGCATTTCTGACGCCCCTCAACTCACTCCCAGTCTTCAGGGTCACACCTGGTCCCCCTCGTAGTGACGTAACTCGGGGTGCCGTGTAGCTTCCCGTGTGCTCCCTCGGAGGACGCTTCCTCTCCCTCTGTCTGCTGACATTAGCGGGCGTCACGTCGCAAATTAGAGCCGAGCGAGGTCACGTAATCTTTTCGCCGTAGTTAACTCGGCTGCCACTCGCAACTGCAGGTGGGGTAAAAACGAGCTGCGCAACAATTTCAGGGCTTTGCTTAAATTATTGTGGAAGTTGATGCCTGACACTTCTGAAGTGAATTACAGAAAACAGATTCTGCCTGGATACCATAGTTTTTATTTAAAAAAAAAAAAGAAAAAGATCTAGGTTTTTGCCGCCTCTCAACTCGTACATCGTCTTCCGGGTCACGTGCGCAGTGACGTTGATGGGGTAGGCGCAGGGTTCCAGAAAAGTTCTCTCTTTAGAGCCGTCAGCGAGCAGCGAGAACTCATCCGCTCGCGACCGCGTGACCACGTGCTGGCGGGCGCCGTGCGAACAATATGGTGAAAGGAGGAAAGTCTCATCCGGGTCCGGCCCTGTCCCCCTTCCTCTCCGACTTCTGGCGGCTGTTCGCGGTAGCAGAGAGAGCGGTTTTGTGGACCTAGGATAGATGGCGCCACTAAAACTCCGTATTATAAAAGTTTTGTCGATGATACCAGGTTTTTGACGCATTCATATACATGTTGGAAGGACAAGATTTATAGAAAAGTCACCTTTTATCGAGCTGGTATTCGCACAACTTGCTATCTTTCTACAAGATTCCCCATTGACGTCACACCGCGTGTTCCTCATGGCCGCCGCTCGCGGCTGCAGGTCGGGGAATATTCTAAGTTTTGCCTCGCGATTACGTGGCAAAATCGCAACATTTCGATGGAAGGAGACGCTAATATCGTTGCACAGCTCTTTAAGAGCCGAGCGAGGTACCGTAATCTTTTCGCCGTAGTTCCCTCGGCTGCCACTCGCGGCTGCAGGTGGGGGAAAAAGCTCGACATTTGCTTTGCGATTATGCAGCGAAATCGCGACATCTTTTTAATGAAGAAGATGATTTCTCAATCCTCCGGGACACGATAAACAACTTAAAAATGACGAGATGCAAATTCCTTTAATCTTAAAATCGTTGCACCCCCCCTTTAACGTATGCATTGCTAGAGCCCACTACATAAAATGTAGCGAGTTGTTTTTAGAGACGTGAATTTTAATCGCATTTATGTACGTGTCACCCAAAACCAGATTTTCTCAGCACATCATTTGTCGATATTTATGATAGTGCTTAACTCTATACACGTTTGCAAGTCCGGCTTGAGGGCGCTGCCATCTTGCCTGTCTGGGGTGCGCTTGGACCAGTCATAATCCGATTACGAAGCCTTGCTAAGGCGGCGTAATCGGATTATGGCCGCTCCCGAGAGCGCACCCCACTGAGGAAGATGGCGGCGCCCTGAGACCGGACTTGCAAACGTGTATACACAAAAATGCGCGCGTGACGTAAAACTATACCGTAATAACTTGTGGCATCACACGCGTATTATATTGTTATTGTTACTAAATTTGAGCTGCTACTTTATTGGTTGAATTATTTTCCCTTAGAGCACTTTTTTTAATGCGTCTCGTTTGCATTTTGCGGGCCACAAAAATAATTAAAACATTAAAAACAAGCGCAGTCAGCAGACGAAAGAGTGTGCCATCCGCTCACTCCGCTTATCGGGAGATAACGCCACAAGTCACAACCATCGCTAGCTGCGTCGTCCGCGAGCACGTCCGCCATTTTGACCTTGGCATGTTTGTTTGTCTCAATCTTAAAGCGCCGTTCACACTCTTGCGACCGAGTAAGACCGAGAGAGACCAGACCGGTTTTTAAGCCTCTTGCGACTTCTTAGGACCGGATGCGCTGCAGCGGAGCTGGTCCTAAGAGATCGCAAGAGGCTTAAAAACTAGTCTGGTCTCTCACGGTCTTACTCGGTCGCAAGAGTGTGAACGGGCCTTCAGAGGAAACCACCTACGCCTTACAATTTCACAAGTAAAATCTCGAAATGCACATTAGGTGAAAGTTTTGAGTTTTCTTTCTGCAGGCGCCGAGGTTTTCAGCTCCTTTTACAGCGACAGGATCCATTGTGGATATGTACCCTATAGTATATCTACAGAAATTACTGCTATGATGAAGTAATAGAAGTGGCGTCCCCCCCACCGGCCCAAACCCCGGCCCAAACCCCGGCCCAAGCGGGCGTCTTTTGAAGGGTCCCGACCTTATGCAGTCGGAGTCCACTCATTCCTGACCTATCTTCCACCTCTATCTTCTTCCGCAGTCGTCGCCACCACTCCCCCGTATCTGCTGTGCAGAAACTCCTGCAGCCCTTGACCTCCTTCCAGCACTCGGTTTTATTGGCGACCGCGGGCACCCTGTGCGCCCTGCTGGTGATGAAGATCGCCCAGAGGCTGAACGGAGCGACGAGGCATGGCACGGCTCAAAACCAAGACGAAACCATGCGGGGAAAGACTGTGATCGTGACCGGAGCCAATGCTGGTAAAACACTTGTGTGTGTCTCGCCATCCGTGATTGCTTTTCAGTAAGCAGTGCGCCGCTTTTAGCCGCGGAAACTGCCGGTACGCTACAATAGATTACGATACAAGGAACAGACATGCATCGGACAGTGTCTACAGGATGTATTTTGTATGATGTATAAGCAGAGGGAATCCGGCTTAACAACATACTGCTGCTAACGTAGGCATCGGCTTCGCGACGGCCATGGAACTTGCCGCCAAGGGCGCTCGGGTCATCCTGGCTTGCCGCTCTCCCTGCCGGGGCCAGGGAGCCGCGAAGGCCATCCGGGAGCTCACGGGCAACAAGGAGGTCATCTGCAAGACTGTGGACATGGGTTGCATGCACTCCGTGAAGGCCTTTGCCACGGAGATCCTCTCGACGGAGCCGCGCCTCGACGTGCTCATCAACAACGCTGCTGTTACTGGTAACGAGATGGATCTGCCGTTTCTGCCACAAAGATGAGTTACACTCGCTCAACTAATGGAGCACTTAACTTTCAAAAAAACAATTTTAAGTGACATAGGACACGTATGTAACATAATATACTTTCTCCCCCCCCCCCCCCCCCACACACACACACAAAAAGAAGCTTTTTCAACGCAATATTTAAGTAGCGAGATTAATTTTTTTGCTATTGCGAAACATTGCAAATTTCTTCTGGTCCGATGTCTCGATATAGAGGCACGCATATATGTTTATAATCGCTCCCCACTGAAAGTGTCAGTGTGACTCGCGTCGAAAGTATTACTGTATTATTTGTTAATGTGAAAGTTTATTTTTGGTTTACCTGTCAAAGCCTGGGCCTGGTATTTCGATAGTTATTTTAAGTACATCAGTGTTCTGTGTTGGGTGCTTAGAATTTGGGACAGAACGTACGGATATTGGGGGCCCACAAGGCCCCTGGTCCTGTTCTTAGCGCGCACGGGATTCTTACGTTAAGTTACGAACTCTTACGACAACTTACGTTACGGCCGCTTACGATCTGCGCGTTCACACAGTACCCCGCCGTTCGTAAGAAAGAACCAATATGAATCCTCTGGTAATGATTACGGTCAACCAATAACGTATCATCCAACATGGCTACCGTCCGCGGTGCCCGCCGGTACACCGCTGGCCCAACTTCGATTGCAAAAAAAAAAGAAAAAAAAATGCGATTGCGTTTTGAAGAAGGGCTAACAGGCTCGCAACTTGACTGAAAGGGGTTATACCCACGCTTTTTAGCTGCGGCTTGTACATGTGCGACTGTAACATTCGTGTGTAACTACACACCCAGCATGCTCTTGATGTTCGAATTATTAGCAAAATTTTGTTTAGCTTTCCTGCTTTTGGCTCCGGCTGCTTCTGCGTCCTGCCGATCAAGTCAACACAATACACTAGGATTGTTTTAGCTCAATTGAGCCAGAAGAAGGCTTCCATCTAGGTCATAAATACGGATTGTAGTGGAGGAAGAAGGGTTCTTCAATACAGTTGATAGTCCAGCGGTTGAACGTGTATTTTTATATTTGTTCAGCTGGTACCATCGAAAGATATGAACCGACTAGCTCAGCTCCAACCCGTCGTATTTTCCTAAAATTTGCGAGACGTAGCCATGTCAACGATTACTGCTGGCCTTTAGGCTTAGGAACATCCAGATTCAGAACACGGTCTAAAAAATAAATGAGACCACCACTCATTCTTTCTCATTTAAACGAGGTAAGGCAAAGCGAAAGCATGCTGCACCGTTCATTGCCGCTGAACGTGCCTAATAATGCAGCCCTATGGCAAATTTCTTCTGAAGCAAGCGATACAGGGCTCCGCCGTGTTTTCCTTATCTTATTTTACGTGTTAAATGCGCGTGAAACGGATTTAAGATGCTGGCTGTTTCTGCCGTCACTGCTTCCTGTTGTCACAGTTGTTGGTGTGATGCTCACTGAAACGAACACTCTAGTATAGAGAGCAGCGCCGGACCGCCGGGCTCCCGAGCGTAGCGCGCATGCCCAGAAGCTTCGCTTCCGCGAGTCCCGATTGGTTGAACGTAAGCGGTCGTAAGAATTCTGAAGAAAAGTTGAGCCAAGCCCAACTCCTTGCATTACGTTACGACTCGCGTTGCGTCGCTGGTTGCCATGGCCACGGGCGGTCGTAAGTTGTCGTAGGAGTTTGTAACGTAACTTAACGTAAAAAAATGGCACAGTGTGAACGGGCCTTTATATGTTTGAAACAAAGTTTTTGCGACGTTTGACACTGTCCCCCATGGCATACCCTTCCCTACTAACAGTGTTCATTCCACGGTGTGACTTTCCTTGCGTCTCTCTCCAGGCACAGAGCTGTCACGTTAAATGGACGATCTTCTATCTTCCTTTCTCACCTTATCTCTCTCTCTCTCTCTCCTTCTTTTGAAGAAACCGGCACTGGGCCGCGTCATCTTATCACAAGTGAAAAACTGGAGCAGTTTCTGAACGACAAAGTAATAAAAAACAAGGCGTCGCTGAAGACAGAAAAAGGAAGCTTTCCGTTCGATAATGGATTTCCCGGCACCAAGCTCAAAATCTCTCGTTGAGAACTCTCTAATGGGTGCCTTGTCTTTTGCAAATGCTCAGCTCAGTTCTCTTTTTGTCGGGCAGTCGAAGGAGAACTCTGAAATTGATTTCTTTTCAACGATGATTACGCATGCCGCAAGGATCTGAAGGCCCTAACTCTCGTCTATATTACAGGTTTGAAGTAAAGCGCAGATGTGAACGCGCTACTTTTTACTCAATTCGCGCGCGCGCAGATGGGATGCCCAAGTAGGTAAATTTCTGTCCCGCGCTGATCGTGAAACTGTCTGAACAAAAACGTGTCTCATAGCTTGGTTAACAAGGTGCACAGGCCGAATCATCTGATGTCCGAACGATGTCTTTTTTTCTTGCGCCACGCCCGAAAAAAAGACATCGTTCGGATATAATCTCGGATGTCGCGACATGCTCTCGGATGTCGCGATCCTGGTGGTAGGTCGCGGAAGTTCCGGCAAAAAGCGCGAGCAGACGTGAGTGACGTCACTGTCGACTCAGCGTCTCAACTCCTGGCTGCCGAAAATCTTCCGTGGACTGTAAAGCACAGCACAATGCAGGCGTCTGTCACGTCCATTTGACACCGCCAGGATCGCGACCGGCGAAAGCGTGACACTTCTATGACGTCATCAGGCGGAAATCGAAGGACCACTTTTTTGGGAGGCGCGGGTATACTTATCTGGGTCACTGTCGATGCACAGGGAGTGGTAATGCGGACCGCAAGCTCGTCTGCTTGTTTTTGCAAGGGTTGTGGTGACGTCTGAACGCCGAACTCTGATCGGTTCTGAATGAAAGATAGTGGGTAGACCACAAAGCAAGCTGCCTCGAGGTCTACCCACGATTTTTGAATCAGAGCCAATCAGAGCTCGGAGTCTTTCTGACGTCACCGTAACTCTTGCGCAAGAAGCTAAATGACTTGCTGCCCGCATAAGAACGCCGAGAAACGAAGTGCGAATTCTCAATAGCCCACGCCTCTGCCGCTAGCTATCAACATTCTTATCGTGATATGGAACTATCATGGCGCGTTCTGATCTTCGTGCGAGTTTTTATTTTGTTTTTCCACTTCTGTTTCTGTCTTTCTAACTGCTATTTCGTTATTTTTTTTTTTAGGTCCCAACGACCGAAGGCTGACGGAAGAAAACCTCGAAGTCACTTTCGCCACAAACTACATGGGACCATTTTTACTCACTAATCTACTGTCGGGTGAGCAATTCGGGCTGGAAGTTTTGCTTGTCTGTGTCGGCTGGCCTAATCACTTTTCTTAGTAATATACAAAAGAGTACACCAGACAAAAAGTCTATGAACACGCCGAATTGTGATATTTTTCAAAGCTTGAGACGCGGGCAACACGAGGGGGAATACCACATGTTATTTTTTTTTTTTTTATTTACTTCCAGTGCTCGAGACAAGTTTGTTACGTGACAATGTCTAAATATACAAGAAAGGCTCATCTGAGTCCAATATATAGTCGTTTTTACTTTCTGTTGCTCTTTATTTCCTCCAACGGGGAGAGGTACAAATGAAGAAAGGTCGCCGCAGTGTCTGTGCCGCACAGTATTTTTATCTCACAATATATCACAATCTGCCACAGTTTACTTTAAGAGTCATAGAGGACTTTTCTTGGATCTCGAAACATATTGGTCTAACATTGAAGATATAATTATCAGACTGACTTGAGGCTTGAGCTTTTGCGAAATTGTGTCCCCTTTGAATCATGGGGGTTCATCACACTGACGTTACGCGATATAGAGCCACAATCACTTAGAACCATGTTATAAGGCTGACGCTCAAAACATAGCTTCTGTCATGACCGCTGTGAATGTTCATTGCACAATACGCGAATCAAATCAAATCAAATCAGTTTATTTTCTACCACAAAAATACATTCGTGACAAGGGTGCTGGAAAAAAAGCTGCACGTTAGCAGCTGGACGAGTCCCAGCGCCCCATTACAGGGCGGCAGCGGAACAGACATAAATACAAAAAAAAACAAAAAAAACACACACACACACATTCCATAACATTCACAAAAAAAACCCCAAAAAAACATCTACCTAAGTACACATATTTAGAGCTATCTGCAACGTAAATAGTGATTTTATATTACAAAATGTCTTGTATTGTACGATTGTTTACAGAATATATATCAATTCCATGAGAAAAAAGAAAGTTTAACAATAGCTTTAATTGGTATCGGTATCTCTGAGTGCCGAAATTTGTTCTAAATACAGGAAGACGCCAGGGGGGCCTATGACGCGAAGGGTAAATGGACTCGTTTTTTTTTCCTAGTTTAGCAAGGTCTAAGATTATGTTAATATTTTTTCTTACACATTGTTGGTAATTTAAAATCAATCTAGTGGAATACTTATTATATATATATATATAAATTATTTTATGTTTTTCAAAAAGAGGAAGAGAGTGATAATCGCGAGGTACATTTTCAATTATTCTGACAGCTTTTTTCTGTAAAAGAGTAAAAGACACAATTTGTCTAAATTGCTCTTAGTAGTTGTTCCCCACGCTGAATGGGAATAGCAGATTACATAATGAAAAAGGAAATTGTAAATTAACCTTTTGATGTTTACGGGGAGTATATGCCTGTATTTATTCATAATTCCAACAACTTTAGCAAGTTTTTTATGAATGTATGTTACGTGATTATTCCACGACTGACTAGAAAATATAACACCGAGAGTCTTAACGGTATCAACACATTCTATTGTGCATGACCCACAGTACAAATCACGTGATATTCGAACATACGATCCCGGGCATTGAAATACGACAGCCTTAGCTTTTGCGGTATTAAGAATAAGCGAGGTAATATTTATCCATTTTTTTAATTTACCTAGGAAAATGTTTGCTATCAAGGTAAGTAGGTCTTCATTGAAACTAGAAAAAATATGCTAGTATTGTCGGCGTACATAATAAATTTAGCGGTATTTTCGATGCTTACTATATCATTCACGTATACAAGAAACAATAGAGGCCCTAGAACACTACCGTGAGGAACCCCGGAGTATATTCATTCAGTGCTAGATGCAAAATTTCGAAATCGAACATATTGGGATCGATATTGCAAAAAAAAAAAAAATAAGACGTTATGAGCGATAATGGGATACCTCGGATGCCATAACGTTCAAGTTTATTTAGAAGAATTTGGTGATTTATCCTATCGAAAGCTTTGCTTAAATCTATATATATATACCCAGCGTTAGAAGTTCTTTTTTTCAAAATTTTCTAATATTATTTCCTTCTGCACCAATAACGCAGTTTCCGTAGATTTATGTTTCCTGAAGCCCAACTGAGAATCAGTCAGTAGTGAGTATTTAGAAAAAAAAATGTGGTAGTCGAGAGTGCAAAATTTTTCCAATCGGTTTCGAAAAGACAGGAAGGATAGATATGGGTCGATAATTACTTATGTTACTGCGATCACCACCTTTATACACTACGGATGCTTTCGCAATTTGCATCCTTCTAGGAAATATACCGGAAGACAATATAAGATTGTACAGATGAGTTATACATGGTAATAGTAAGTCAACTACAAATTTCACCGGCCCAATTTGAAGATCCCCACAGTCATGGCTACGACTATTTTTTATATTCATGAAAGTAGATAGTACTTCTTTAGTATCACATGGGTTTAAAAACATGGTTTCGTTTATTCTGGGGATATTATTTGCTGCAGAACTGTTATAACTACTTTTCCCTACGCTCACAAAATAATCATTGAACATATTCGCCAGTTCTACACCAGAAATAGTTCTATCGCCTACACTTATACTAGTGACTGCTCTATCTTGAGTTGGATTTCGTATTAAGGAGTGCAAATGTTTCCATACGACTTCGGGTTGCTTTAAACAAGATATATCAAATAGATCTGCATAATAGCGGTGTTTAGCTGGTTTCAATTTTGTATTGACAAAGTTTCTAAATTTTTTTTCAAATTCTAGCAATATATTTTTTTTTTCATTTCGTGTCGTAAGGAAGTTGCCACAAAGAAAAATTTTTTTTAATAAGTCTGAAGAGTCGTTTAGTGACCCATGGTTGGTTGCACTTCTTATTACCGTGAATTTCCTTGTACGGAAACGAAGAATAGTATGCATCTTTTATCAGGTATAAAAAGAGGTTATAGCACTTATCAACATCGGTTTCCCTCAACACGGGACTCCAATTGATAGCCCCGATTTTTTCTCTAAACTTTTCGAGTGTTGTAGCGCTAATATTTCGGGACATTACTGGAAGGTTAATAGCCCTATTACATGGTACATTGTTATTAATGAACATAACTATAGGGAGATGCTCGCTTAACCCATAGCCCAGCACACCAGCACTAATGTTTTCTTCACAGTCGTTGGTTATAAACAGATCAATCAATGTTGACGTTGAGCACGAAACGCGAGTTGGAGGAATTATGACATTACTGAAATTATTTGACGTAAACAACTTAGCAAAGTCATCTGTGATGCGAGATGTTTCGAGCATTTTTATATTAAAATCACCACCCAGATACAATTCACAGCCTTCTTCATTCGCAAAACAAAATAACTCTTCCAAAAAGTTTATAAAGACCGAAATATTTCCATTTGGCGGGCGATATAAGACAGGGTAAATACAACGGTTTTTTTTAATGCAGAGTATTTCGTAGTTCGCCGTATCACTGAGGAGCACAACGCCGGAAACATTAGTCTGCAATGACACACCGCCTCCACGACCATAGTTGCGATTTAAGATAAAATTATAATAACCCGAAAGAACAAAAGCATTATCATCGTCCTTATACCATGTTTCTGTTAACATTATAACGTTAAAAGGAGTTTCGATTGAATCAAAAAAACAATACAAGATCATCTCCTTTCGATCGTGCAGACTGTACATTTAAATGAAAAAAGCTAGTTTGTGTATTAGTCTGGATTTTTAAGAAATCACTTAGATCTTCTAGTGTCATAGTACCGAGATTTACAGCCATACATAATAACATTCACGTTCCGAGTAGTGCGGACCTTCTGCAGATATTTCACTTACGCTACAAGATTTACAGTCATCACACAATGAACTGACATGGTATATTTCTCAATTTCGCCGTTTTCTATTTCTAGACTTGCTGCAGCTCAGCGCCCCAAGTCGAGTCGTGAACGTGACGTCATCAATGTACACCATGGGCAAGATCACTCTCAATGACCTCAACTCGGCCAATGGCTATCCGGGAGCCGAAGCGACTTACTCCAAGAGCAAGCTTGCGCTTAATCTATTCACCGTGGAACTCGCCAGGAGGCTCAAAGGCAGCGGTGAGCGCCATCTTTATTTTCTAATTCAGGATTAATATATCTCGGCCGTACTCAGTCATGCATCATCGACACCTACGTAGTTTGATAAAAGTACGACACCTAAGACAGGTGATACCTAAATAATTACAGCACGTCGTATGTGCCCTACTTTTAAAGTTGTTAAAATATTGAACTGCTTTCAAAGAAATATGAATGTATATTGTTATTTGTTTGCTACGTTAACCTCGGTAACTACCACGACTGAGAGAGTTTGACAATATGGCGGTGTGTTATTCTTCTTTTTTCCTTCTTCGTAGGGGTGACTTGCAATGCTCTCCATCCGGGAGTCGTGGCGACCCAGTTCAACCGGAAGGAGCACGACTTACGGCACTTCCTGTGGAATGTCTTTCTTCAAGCGTTTGGAAAGGTGACGCTGCCATTCTCGCTTTTAATACCTCTTTATTGCATAGAAGATACTCCGTTATAGGCGATACCCTGATGAGTGGTCCATTAATCGATTTCTTTATAACGTCCACAATGGCTAGGTGGCACGTAGTCGCTTACCGATTTGAAGGGTTCAGCAGTATCCCTTCTACCCTTCCGTGCAGTCTGAGTGTACCGGATTTTGAGAACTATGCGGAGAACAAGGTCGTCTGCTTCTTTTGCAGGGGTTGTGGTGACGTCAGAACGCCCTCGAGCTTTGATTGGCTTTGATTAAAAGGAATAGTGGGTAGACCTCAATGCTAGGTGCCTTGAGGTCTACCCCCTATTCCTTTCAATCGGCAAATAAGGGTTCGGCGTTCCGACATATAATCACAACCCCTGTGCAAGAAGCAGACAAGCTTGGGCTGCGGATAGTCTGCATTCCGTGTATCTATTTCGCTAAGTCAAAATTCAGCAAAATTTCCGTAGAAAGCTTGCATGCTCTGTGCATGCTCACCTGGTGCACAGTACGTACTCAAAGCAATCGTAATTTTCAGCACGCCTTGAAATATTTCTGCTTTATTAGTGCAGAAAAGAAGCTTAGATAATCGCAAAACATCATTAACGTGATCTCTCATGCACAAAATTCGTCACGTTTTGTCATAATAAACGATCTCGGAAAAGCAGATGCATGTGTAGCCCGCACCTGTAGATAGTCCACTCCATGTTAAATTTTAACGTTTAAACATGTGCGATCGACAGGTTGAAAAATGTGGTGCGTTTTGAATGTCCTGACGACTTGTTTTCGTGCTTTGACGACTTCGCGTTTTTTTACAGCGGAGCTGTTAAGAGTATAGGTTCCCCAGGATCGTGTCCGTCCGCACAGAAATGTCGACACAACACTCTTGTTGCCGCCGTCGCTTATAGATGGCGGTAGCTGCCCAGAGTGTTGTGTTTACCACTTGTCTGCTTGCCGCCGTCGCTCATTGCCATTGCGGCAACCTTTCCAGCCTTTTCACTCTGGCTTGCCGATTTGCGGACGGCCATTACTTTGTTCCCACCATAGTACAGCTTCGCTGGTCTTCCTTCTTCACCAGAGTGGAAAGGCTGAAAGCTTTTTTTTTTTTTCTTTCGTTTGATTTTGCAGAGCCCACGCGACGGTGCTCGGACATCGCTCCAGCTCGCCACGGCTGCTCAACTGGAAGACGTGACGGGAAAGTATTTCGTGTCGAACGGCGAAGCACCCTGGTCTTCGACGGTCCTCGACGAGGACCTCGCAGGGTCCTTATGGAAGAAAAGTGAAGACATCGTGCACAATGTTTTGGGCACGCCAATGTAGATGCGGAAGGTAAAATTATTTGTAGAGCCCCTTTATATTTATATAAAAATGTGCAAGAACGATAGTTTGCTCCGTTTATAATACACTCCCCTCCTTCCACTCCTCTCCCCTCCCCTCTCCCCCACCCCCTCTCCAAAAAAGAAAGAAAGATTAGTGGGCGCATTTTAGTTATCGTCTATTTATTGAGATTACCACTTGTTTTCGGGAACAGCAGTAGGGTTGTTACAAGGTTCTAATTGTGTCGTGTGTACGTTTATACAGCTTGAAGTTAGTCTGCCTCAACGGGCGACTTGCCTTTTAGGTGTGCAATTGAGCCAGTGCAGTACAACAGCTAGCCTGGGGTCTTTAACTTGCACCACGCAGTAGTGATACACGACCGCACGCCGGTACGATGCTCATCCAGATCAAAAACGGACTAGATTGAACCCAGGATCACTGAATTCTGCAGAGCTATAGGAGGTATTCACTGGACGCCATATTTGAGGGCGATGTTTAGAGCGCATGCTCAGAACGAGCTCACATTAACCGCCGTATTCACTCAAACTACACTCAAACTGAAGGGCCCCTCCACCTCCTCGAGGAAGGCGCGAGGGCCGGCGCTGGCCAATCGCGAGGACGGATCCGCCGTCGCGATTGGCCAGCGCCGGCCCTCGCGCCTTCCTCGAGGAAGTGGAGGGGCCCTTCAGTTTGAATGTAGTTTGAGTGAGGTTTCTGAATTCGGCGGTAATAGCCTGCTAAGACCGGCAAGCTTGATGGTGCTAAATGCACGCTCCAAAAGGACTGCGGAAGCTCGCCGTCAGCACGCGCTCAGCAGCAGCGCACACGGATATGGCCGCCAGTGAATACTCCCTATACGTTTTCACTCCACGTGCTCCGAGCTTGTGTGCGCTAGCCCACTCGGCCACCGATGGTGGTACCGCGGTGTAAGAATCGCGCTCCCTAGCTCCTGGATGATCGGCATCACAATAAAGGTGGGTGCCTACACGTTCCTTACGTGAAAAAAATAAAGTAAGGCTCTAATACTGATCGTATATAGCAGAACCAGAATTACTCACGCGCCGCAGGCCGAGCCTCGTACTGCTGTTCTGCGACGATCGACCGCCATTTTAAAAGGCGCCAGTGCGCCCCCTGTAGGCCGTGAAAGTTACGAATAGACCTTTCCTGACATTTCCGAAAAGGGCTCATGGCCGGTTTAATTTTAGTGCTCGTGCGTGATTTTCCCGCTTCCTGAAGCGACGAACATGCAGGTCCTGGGCTGAGAAGATCGCACGCTGGGCAAACGTTGCGCTGGGCTGAGGACTCGTAAATATTGAAATGGTGTATTAGCGGCGAAATGTTTTGGTGGCGCCCTTCTGTGGTTCACTGTGATGACGTCATTACATTGCGAATAACAGGTTCGATGGTGTTTGTAATGAGCATGGTGGAAGCTTGAAATCGCTCTGAAATCAACACTGCCAGCACCGTCAAAAATAAAGTTCTTCCATCACTCTTATTTCTGTCGATGAGAAATCCTTTGCTGACGTCATAGTCAGCATTCCGCCAATCGTGGAGGGCCGACCACAGCGACACTGTCGAACGCGCATGTTATCAATAGGGATTATTCACTGACGGTAGCTGTGTGTGCGACTGATGAGCGCGTGCTGACGGCAAGCTTCCACAGTTCTTTCGGCACGTGCATTCCGCAGCATCAAGATTGCCGGTCTTAGCAGACTATTAGTGTGAGTTCGTTCTGAGCATGGGCTCTAAACATCGCCCTCGAACATGGCGTCTATTGGCGAATTCCACTGGGCGTTTTGGAGCGCGCCGGGATCAGTCGACCAGATCCGGATTGGAGCACAAGATCCGAACGGGATCGCGCCGCCTACGGATCCCCAGTGGAACATGACCACTGCTCCGGGATCGGCGGATGCCTTCCCGTCATTCAACTGCCCGGGAATCCCCTTTTCGCGGCCGCCGCGGTCGTTTCGAAGACGTTTTCGCTACGCGGCGCTAACACGTGTTTGGCGCACGAGTGGCAGAAATGGCTCAGGCGCTTCTAGCAAAGATTGCCGGAATGCCCGGAGCGCGGCAAATACATTCTCTTCTCCTTCCTGGAAAACGAACCGGCTGTCGAGCCAATGGGTAAGCAAGCGGCCAGTACGAATTCTTCTGATGTCGAGACAATCTAGGAGCCCAGCCCGCGACGTGCTTCTTCTTCTTCTGAGGCGAGATGCCCCACGAGAAAAGAAGTCACGTGTGTGCGCCAAGGGCTGGCCCGGCTGGCTTCCGGTTAAATCTGCCGAAATCGTGGGAGCGACTTTTCTCGTGGCGAATTCCACGGGTCGTTTTGGAGCGCGCCGGGATCGACTTTTCTGGAGCGAGCCGATTTCACCGGGCGATCGGGATCGAGACGAAAGTGTTCCACTGGTCGTTTCGGATTAGCTCCCGCTCCAGATCTCGATCTGGATCCGAGAAAAGTCGCTCCCCCGATTTTGGCGGATTCAACCGGAAGCCAGCCGGGTCAGCCCTCGGCGCACACACGTGACTTCCTTTCTCGCGGGCATCTCGCCTGATCTCGCCTCAGAAGAAATGGTAATGGCCGCTTGCTTACCCCTTGGCTCGATAGCCGGTTCGTTTTCCAGGAAGGAGAAGAGAAGGTATTTGCCGCGCTACGGGCATTCCGGCAATCTTTGCTAGACGCTCCTGAGCCATTCCTGCCGCTCGTGCGTCGAACACGTGTTAGCGCCGCGATTGCGAAAACGTTGATGCTTGGAACTTAGAACCAGCCTTTACCAGACACCTGATTTGTTTCAAAAATACCCAGGAGTTTTGGGGCAATTAATCGATCACATAGCAGGCGGTAGACAAGTAGACAGCGTTGAAAAATATTTATTCCACCGATTGTTATGAAGGCCGATGGTGTCGGTGTCGCAGTTTTGAAGCACTGTCAGTTCAGCTCAACACCACGTTACAAAAGACGGTTTGGGGTACTGCCGGCGCTAACGCAATTTCACAGTATAAATAGGAATTGCATGAAAGAACCGGACAGAAACACTTTATACGGTGGCGTAAATGCCGAACATATATCAGCAATGTCGCTTTCCTCGGTTAGGGCTATCTGCTTTGTCAGCGAATGAAGAACATCTCGATAAAATAAAAAGCGGAAAATACTCCCCGTGTCAAGTTTTCTAATTACAGCCACTGGTTGATGTCGTACCGTGGTAATTCCCGGCCCTTCGAACGCACTAGCACTTTGTAGAGTCACATTTCCAGCGGTTCCGCGCCGCACACGAACGAAGGTAAACAATCAAGATGGCGGAGTGTTCCCCGTGTTGTCCCCGCCGTCAGCGCGGTGTGACAGGGTTGTCGGACAACAAATCGGGCAACACTGTTGCCGGGCGGCAGCAACATGTTGCCCGGCTGTTGTTGTTGCCGCGATGTGACAGGGTCACCGGCAACACGACTTCCCCGTGTTGCCGGATATAGTTGTTCAACTGTCCCCTCAGTGTGACAGGGCCTTTACCCCTTGGCTCGACAGCCGGTTCGTCTTCCAGGAAGGAGAAGAGAAGGTTTTGGCCGCGCTACGGGCATTGCGGCAATCTTTGCTAGAAGCTCCTGAGCCATTCCTGCCGCTCGTGCGTCGAACACGTGTTAGCACCGCGATTGCGAAAACGTCTTCGGAACGACCGCGGCGGCTGCGGAAAGGGGATTCTCCGGCAGTTGAATGACATGAAGGCAAATGCCGATCCCAGAGCAGTGGTCATGTTCCACTGGGGATCCATCGCCGGCGCGACCCCGTTCGGATTGTGAGCTCCATTCCGGATCTGGTCAACTGGGGTGCTATGTTGCGCTTTTTGAACTCCCAGGAGACTTGGAAGAAGGAAGTGACGTCAACGACTAGAGCAAACAGAGATTGGCTGTTGACAGAAGAAAACAAAATCAACATCCAATCTGCATTTGCTGCGTTGTTGACGTCACTTCCTTCTTCCTAGTCTCCTGGGAGTCCAAAACGTGCATATGGCGAATTCCACTGGTCGTTTTGGAGCGGGCCGGGATCGACTTTTCTGGAGCAAGCCTATTTCACTGGGCGATCGGGATTGAGACCGACATGTTTCACTGGTCGTTTTGGATTATCTCCCGCTCCAAATCTCGATCTGGATCCGATGGCGAATTCCACTGGGTGTTTTGGAGCGCGCCGGGATCAGTTCACCAGATCCGGAATGGAGCTCACAATCCAAACGGGGTCGCGCCGGCGATGGATCTCCAGTGGACCATGACCACTGCTCCGGGATCGGCATTTGCCTTCATGTCATTCAACTGCCGGGGAATCCCCTTTCCGCGGCCGCCGCGGTCGTTTCGAACACGTTTTCACAATCGCGGCGCTAACACGTGTTCGTCGCACGAGCGGCAGGAATGGCTCAGGAGCTTCTAGCAAAGATCGCCAGAATGCCCGTAGCGCGGCCCAAAACCTTCTCTTCTCCTTCCTGGAAAACGAACCGGCTGTCGAGCCAAGGGGTAAAGACCCTGTCACACTGAGGGGACAGATGGACAACTCTATCCGGCAACACGGGGAAGTCGTGTTGCCGGCGACCCTGTCACATCGCGGCAACAACAGTCGGGCAACATGTTACTGCCACCCGGCAACAGTGTTGCCCGATTTGTTATCCGACAACCCTGTCACACCGCGCTGACGGCGAGGACAATACGGGGAACACTCCGCCATCTTGATTGTTTACCTTCGTTCGTGTGCGGCGCGGAATCGCTGGAAATGTGACTCTACAAAGTGCTAGTGCGTTCGAAGGGCCAGGAATTACCACGGTACGACATCAACCAGTGGCTGTAATTAGAAAACTTGACACGGGGAGTATTTTCCGCTCTTTATTTTACCGAGATGTTCATCATTCGTTGACAAAGCAGATAGCCCTAACCGAGGAAAGTGACATCGCTGATATATGTTCGGCATTTATGCCACCGTATGAAGTGTTACTGTCCGGTTCTTTCATGCAATTCCTATTTCTACT